TCATATTCTGGTAAGTTAAGGATCGTCCTACAACTCCATCTCCTTGTTGAGGTTTGTCCTCGCTCCATCGCCTATTGAGGATCATCTTTGCTCCGTCGTCTTGTTTTGGTTCATCCTCGTTTAGTCTTTGAACAATCCCATCTCAGACACACCAATCATCCAGAGCAGTCCCATCTAATCAAAAAGAATAATCCGAACTCTTGACTCAAGGAGAGGAAGAAAACCAACGCTCACTACAACATCTGTAGAAAAATATTACCACAATAAATAATATAAGGATATTCATCACACATGTTATTTGGACCTAGCACCACGCTACGACACGAGGCCCCCTGAGTAGATAATGTCAGTAGGATAAGGTCTTCCTAGCATGCAATCTATTTAAGTGTTAATTGGCCAACATATCTATCTATAACGACAAAAGATATAACATCATCTATATCCAATTCAAGCAGGAAATTGATGCCCATAAAAAAGGAAAGACACGCACAAGTATGATCAACCTAACCTAAATCTTGGTTTGCGAAATACAGTGATGTCTAACAATGTGGTATGTGAGATGGCCACTCTAACCTTTATGTTGAGGTTGTGGTTTACGTTAATTTTTATTACTATTGAGTGGTTAAAATTCAATTTACTTAGATATTGTGCAATAATATTCAACTATAACCTTTTAGTTAGATTTCGCTGTTACATAACTCTCTAATCCTAGGAAGTTGGGGCACCTCATTTTATGAAAATGAAATTCACTGCACTGAATATTTATGAGTGTTGTATGTGAGTTGGACACTGGCTTTTATGTTAAGGTTGTAACTCACGTTGAAAATTAATTTATTGCAATCGGGTGTTAAAATTCAAATGACTTACATATTATGCAATTTAATTCGATTTTAGATTTTTAGTTAGATTTTGTTGTTACTTCAATTTTTTTAAAGAGTGTCGTGAAGGGTGGGACCCACCTAGCCGGGGGTCCCACTATTCACAACTCCTTAATCCTAGCGAGAAGGAGCATTTCAATTTTTGAAAATGAAATGCACCACCCTGAATATCTATAAATAACTTTATTATGCATTCTTCTCTTAAGTTTTGTTGTTTAAGCGTTTGATTGATTCTTACTTTTTTTTTTTCCAATTTTACTTGGCTTAGGTTCAAATTGATTAAAATCTAAAGTCATATACTTAAGATTCTAAAGGAGTGTTATAAAGTTCTAAGTGAAGGGTAGGAAGTTCAATCTCCCAAAATTCCATCTAATAAAAACTTAAGGTTAATTTTAAAAGATTATAATGATTAGGGGATTGTGCTAGGATTCTTCAACTTAGAGTTACTTGAGCTCTTAAAGTTACTTACTTGAGCTATTAAAGTTAATTAAAGTTAAACCATCCCAAACGAGTCTTAAAATTTCACTAGATTGTCTTTGAATCTTGTTTAAGATTAGAGTGATAATTTTAGTGGATTATGGATCATTCTAAATTACATTTCCTCCTTTTTTATTGATTAGTTAATTATTTAATGGATAGGCTTTTAATTACCTAAAATTAAAATTATTCTAGAAAAAAATATAAAAATTGATTAGTTGATTAAGAAAATTATCTTAAGCTTTTTGTGAAAATTTCAAGATTTTTTATATTATAATTATTAAGTTATGATTTATTTGACACTGTTTAATTTTTAGGTTTGCAAAATACATAAAATAGTTTAATTGATAAAAATATTTTTTTCACATTATTATAATTTTATCCTCTGTTTACTATATCTATGGTTATGATTTCTATAAATTTGTTGAATTAGATTAATTACTAAGTTTAGGTAATCTAAAAGTACATTTTTTTAATTGAAATTAATATTTAGCCTTTAATATTTACTTAAATATTAATAAAGTCTTAAATATATCTTTGTTACTTTCTGACTTTAAAATCTTAAATGGGAGGAGTATAACAAAATAAAGTGTTTATCCAAAACGGTTAAGTTTAGTTTTAAGGTTAATTAATAAATAGGTCAATTGATAATCTTAAATTAATTAACTTAAACCCCAAACTATCTCCATCTAATAAAATTATCCCTAAATATCCTATATAAGCTTTAAGAAGTTTAATTACGGTTAAGATCAACATATTTTTGTGTTTAAATAATTTGATTTTGGCTTAGGTAATTAAAATCAATTAATTATTCTCTTTAGTTAAGGTTCTATGATAAATTTGAAGAAAACACCGAAAATGATCCCAAAAAAGTCCAACAAAATTCCGTGAGATCTCTCTAAATCTAAGGAACCTCCCACAAAAATTTTGGGTCATAACTTTTTCAAATGAATTTTTAATTAGGGATTTATGGTTTTGATTATTTGTCAAATTGATCTCAAATTTATATATATTTTTTTTATATGTTTTTTTTTTTTGAAGTTTCAATCATTAAATAGGGTAATAAGTCTATTTACTCTTGGTTGCCACATCAGCCGACTTTACATGTGCCTACCTCTGATTGGCTTCACAGTACATCTCATGGGGCTCAGGTTCTAAGTATTATCTAGTGTGATTTAATCAAAGCCAGACCATTCATTCCAATCAGAGGAAATGGACGACTTTGATTACGTCCTCCAAATGCAAGAGGGAGGCATCCCTCATGATTTGTCGCAACCTAGCCGATCCGGTGGCCGGAGTTTGATTGGATTCGATTGAAATGGTCAGCAAAGAGGGGACGCAGGGTACTTGCCTAAGAATGTGATCCTTTATCCTATGACAAGTCCCTCTAAATTTTAATGACCGAAAATACTTGATGGAAGAAGAATGAATTACCTCCAGTGTGGGAATGAATCCTCAAATTGACGGGGCCTGAAGCTTCGGGAGAGCTTTGTGAACAACTTTTTTTAAGCCAAAAAAGGTTGAGGAACAACTTTTTTTTAAGACGAAACAGGTTGAGAAGCCTCCATTTGCTTCGCGGAATAACGCTGTCAGAATCAATGCCAGAATTGATATATAGAGCTCACCTAAGGACGTTGAGAGGTGAAAATGATTATGGCAAGTTCCTTAGGACTCAAGGAAGCTCTTAGGAAGAAGAATACTGAATTATTCCTTTTTTCCTTGAATTTTGATTTTCTCCAACCTTAAAGTTTCAGTCACCATGGGGAGGTCGAAATACCATCTTAGCCCTCTAGAGAAGGCCAATCTGATGGTGGGGGAGTCAATTTCCATTGCCCCTTGGAGCCTTGAGCTCTAAGCAGCAACAAGGGAGTGGGAAGATGGATGGAGTGAGTCGGGTTGTGCCTCCTTTTGGTCCAAGTTCAGCTCTCTTTTTCGCTGGGTTCAGGGAGGAACTAGGGAGGATCAAGGATGTGGGAAGCAACTCAGGAGATGATCAACCTGTTAGGGAAAAACATAGGTAGCTAAGCAAGGGAGCTTGTTGAGCCGTTTCAGGAAGTTGATCCATGGAGTCAATTTAGGGGCTATGTTTGGCCATAGGAGGAGGTGGCAAGCTATGTGGAGGCTAGTTCAATCAATGGAGAGTCTCTACATGCCTAGAGTGGTTCTAAGGTTGAGTTGGCTTGGACTTGGTCTGGGTTGGCTTATATGGATATTGGTCTCCCTCTTTTTTTCTTTAGTTTTCTTTAGTGTAAGGTTGAATTTTGTCTTAACTTATACTTTATGGCTTGTTTAGTCTGTGAAAGATTGTTTGTTTTAAGTTTGATTAGGTTTAGTTTTCAATAAGTAACTTTTCATATCTTGCTTAACTTATACATGCACACACACAGACACAGATATATACACGAACGAACAAAGCTTGTGTTCGTGTTCGGTTAGTTTGAAATTTAGTTTGTTTGAAATAAGCTTGTGTTCGAA